GATCGTTGCTAAAAACACTTAGTAACCATTAATAGTATTGAAAATAAAAATCCTTGAGTGCTTCGTTCGTTCATTTGTGAACAACGACAACGAACAATGACAACAACGTGAGGAAGGAAATGGTTGAAGTTATGTACACCATTGATTTCGGTTCTGACGGGAACGTACTTTTCTAAACTTGGCAACGATTCCAAATTTCGATTGTTCCATATCGAAAAACGAATGGGTAGCCCCTTCTTCTTCGTATGTATTACAGGACACCAACTACTACTACTACTATAATCACTGGTACTACCACTGGGTAATATCAGCACCATTTGCAATACCTTCGTAGCATTTATAAATGAGTCCAAGGACACTACTTGCCTTTTTGGTTGTTCAGGAATCCAAGGAAAATCTCGTCACGAATCGTTGCCCTTTATCGTTCACGTAATTTACCATTTCTTTTTATTACCTTTATTATTATTATTATTATTATTATTATTATTATTATTATTAGATAATCCATGAGAATTATTTGCAATGGGAATTATTCCATTTAATTATTCGACGTATCCTGGGCTTCGATTCTGTTTACTTAAAGCTTTTGGTTACGATTTAACATCAGTCATCTCAATTTAGTAACATCGATCCAACATAGGAACGTCACTTTAATCCCTTACTAAGCTTCCGTTTCTAGTGCCCTTTGAACTCGGATTAACTTACCAACGAGAACTAACTCTCTGAGTCGTCGTAGTCATCATAGTCGTCGTCGTCGTCATCTGTAAACCCCGTCGTTCCATGCTTTGTATCAAAACGAAAGGACTTTCAAAGAATCTTTCCACCCTTTTCTTTCTTTTTCTTTCTTTTTTACTTTACTTTGTTGCTCTTAGATTTTCTTTTTATTTTCTCACTCTCTTTTATTCCTTTTCCTACAATTTTTTTCTTCTTATCCCATTTTTTATTCTTGTTTTTCGATAAATTTTATACTAACACATTCTTTTTCTTATTAATTGGTAATCCGAATTAATTGTTAATAAATAAGTATTTAAAAAATGACGATTCTTTAGTTAAATTATATATTTTAATTTATTTAAGTTGAATTTTAATTAACTTATATGAATATAAAACAAATGAGAGATCATAGTAATATCACTTTTTTGTATATACAATGTTTATTTTGTCTTTTGTTCTCATTCCTACAATTTTTTTCTTATTATCCCATTTTTTATGCTTCTTCTTCGATAAATTTTATACTAACACATTCTTTTTCTTATTAATTAGTAATTCGAATTAATTGTTAACAAATGAGTGATTAACAAATGACGATTCTTTAGTTAAATTATATATTTTAATTTATTTAAGTTGAATTTTAATTAACTTATATAAATATAAAACAAATGAGAGATCATAGTAATATCACTTTTTTGTATATACAATGTTTATTTTGACATTTGGTGGAGGAAACTCGTGCTAGTAAGTTCGTAACAGCTGAACAAACGCTCGAATTTACCGTTCCACTTCCGTTTTCTCTTATTTATTTCTTTCTTTTTGTTCTTTTCTATCTCTCGTTTTATCTTTCACTTCAATACGAGACACACAGAGACACAAACAATCTACTTGGCAATATTCTGACAATTACTTTGCTTGGAAAAATTATCAGAACAAGTGTGTACACGTATCGAGAGTACGATGATTAAAAGAAAATCGAAGCTTTTGAAAAGTTTTTCAATGTATAATAGTAGTAGTAGTAGTAGTAATAGTACTCGTTTATTAATTCGAACTTTGTGTTTGATAAAAAAAAAAGTATGAATGAATGATCTTGATTAAAAATCTAACGCGTATTTAAATTGTGTCATTTATTTTAATTCGACAAACTTCGATAAACTTTGTCATCGTATTTTGTTAAATATTTCTATTAATTTAAACACTTAATTTATACGCGTATATAATTGTCACTCGTGTTAATTCGATTGACATTTGAAAGGACTGGAAATGAATAATATAACGTAATTATGTACCTTTTGTACCTTCTCTCGAATTATTTTCAAAATGATTCTATTGGACATTTACATTTGTTCGTTTCATTATTTTGTATTTTGTATTCTTTGTTAAACACATTCCCCCTTGTCGATGATGCAAATTAAAAAAATAATTCTTCGAATATATTTTTCACGTCATTCTTCCCCATCAAAACTAAAATTATTTCATTCGTTTAATAAACACCACATTATATTTCATGAAATACCTTTAAAACAATGAATTTATTTTCAATGAAATAATTTTAACCCAATGAATTTTTCTACGAGAGATTAAAACACCAAAGAAAAACTCATCAAACTATAATTTATTCTTTTCTATTCGTAATACGAAGCAACTCCATGAACAATTTTATTTAGTTTCCATCAAGGAAAGACTACGTAAGATAGACTTAGTAACTTAATCGTACCTTATTCTTTTTTTTTCTTCTTTGTTTTACCCCCTTGATGAAAAAGAAGTACAGTCTTAATACAGTTTCTCGAACAACTGTAGACTAATCAACTAGTCATTTAAAAGTATTCTAGACTGGGTTCGTAATTAATTAAACGATCTCGTTAAAATTGAATCTTATTACTTTTATACTCGACAAAAAATTGCAATCAAAATTATTTATTAAAATTAAGATAAAAGTATATATAATATATCAAAAAGTATATTATGTGCTGCAATGTTTTCCAGCAAAAAAAAATTAACAACATAAAAATATACATATATAAAATATTTGTTGTATTAAATATCGTATATTAAATCTTATTAATTTATCTAT